GAGAATATCATTTCCAGTATGTTCCGATGCGGTGTCAGGCCTCGGTTTCTCCCTTAGTATCTACGCATTCTTAGGTTACTAATCCGAATCAGTCATCGAAGAATGCCTCGACCTCTACGAAAACGAAGAAGAGGCCGAACCTAGTAGTTCCTCTGCGACGAATCCCGCAGGGGGAGGTCGTCATCATACCTCTCGATAGAGGTTGCCAGCTGTATCTCGGAGTGGGACGTGGTAGGACAATACCAAGGGCGTCGATCGGTTTATGATTTAAGACATATACGGGGCGTTCCGTTCGGTCATGATGATTATTTTTGCATATCAGGTTGTGATCCCCCTCGATTCCGCGCATGGCCCGGGGGCACTGTTAGCCCCCAACACCAGTACTCATGGGTGGCGATCAGGGGTTAGGGAGTTCAACGGATCATGATGTATCATCAAGTTGCATGTTGGGTTAGTAACATGAGGCAACCCATCCGCCCATGTTGGTTACGGAACATTTATACCACTGCAACCTAGTCATAATGTATCAAGCTGAGTCTAGGGTTAGGCTTCGGATCGGAACAGCTGGGTGGGGGGGTAGATACTACGATCGGAATGGCAAGTAACGGGATAGGGGATGGATGGTAGGGCAAGGCAAAAGCAAAAAAATGAGGACATGAATTTACTAGAACGGAGGTGTATGGTTGTACGATGTTGTTTGAGGATACCCTTGGAACCCGGCGGAATGGAGGAACGGTCAAAAGAAAGGTATAGAGTAGAAGAAAGGTATTCACTGCTCTCACGAGCTTATTCACCCCGTTTCGTTGATAAGGTACGGAATATTTACTGTACATACATGAGTATATACTTGCGTCAAACATACCTGTACGTATGTATGTAGGTATAAGGCCGAGTGGCAATAATACTTGGAAGTGTATATTGAACTATATGAAACCTCAATGATTGAATGTTTCGGCTGCCTCCCACGATAAAAATAATTCGCACCTCACCTATGTTTAATGTGATAAAGGAGGAGGAGGATATATGAGGTATTTAGATAGAACTCTCTGTGTGATGGCAGTCGAACAAATTCCTGACATACATAATATGAAGTGTGTACTTCCAAGGTTGAGGCCCCAACGTAATCTTTAACTTGAATTATCAAGGTAGGTACGAACCTAGGATACTATAGGCTAGCCTTTAAGGGTTATAACTTACCTCTTGGGTAGCACTTGATTTTTCCCCCCCCCCCAGTCGTATTTTTATTCCGTTTAGTAACTTCACATTTTCCTTCTTTCTCCCCTTTTTCTTAATTTGCTATTTACTCCTCTCACTATAGATGTGTAAAGAATTATGGAATCTCATCATTGCCCTATTCCTACATCTACATAACGTATTAGTGCCTAGGTATATTATATTGATTAAGTATCAAACTACTACTGTCCTATAGGGACCCATCATTACCTCCATATATCAACATGGCATTCTGATATACCCCCACCCCACATAGCGATCCTCCCAAGCTTCTTTTCGTCCTCATAGATCATTGCGACTTTGCATACCCCTGTAAGCCTTACGTGCCGCTTCTCAGGAAGACACTAATCGACTAGGACCAAGATGGTAATAAGAGGCAACGTGGGAAAGCCATGAAGCGTTAGAGACCCCTTAAAATTGCCATTTGCGGCCAGAAGCCAATATTGATTGGCCGGTCGCAAAAGCCTCAATGATGCAAGTCAATCTCGGAAGATTTCCGACTCAGCTGGTCGTGTCTCTACTGCCAGCCAGCTTGCGAAGATCATCTAGCTGCGATCTTCCTTGAATGTCTCTGTCAGACGGTCACGGCAGCCCATTGACATTTGATCGGACCCGACACCATGGAAGAGTGGATGGTGGCTCCGCGCTGCCAGAAAACCCTTGTTCCGCCTCTCTGATAGGTCCGCGGTGCTACGCCCCCAGTGCAACCGTCCCATAGAACAGAACTGACCTAGACTCTGAGCAAACATGGGTGAGAAAGGGAAAAGAGATGCCCAGATGCCGTGCTGCAAAGCTTTCACAATGTGACCTGTCACATTTTGTTAGATTCGCACCCTCTCTATTTTGAACCAGGATCCGCATTCCCGCTTTAGTCGAGCGGACAAGGGACCTTGCCACCATATTCGATTGGTGAATTATCAACTTTGCTTAGTTTTTATCATTATTATTACATATTTTTCTCTGCCCTTCTTCTTTATCGTCGGTCACGTAACACAGAGACACGTATGGATGGGCCCTGGTGGTGTTTGCAGCTGAATCCACTGAAACAAACTCAGCAAACAAAAGCAGGCTTTGTTTATTGCTCATTCTAAAGACATTTGAAGGGGTCGAAGCCTAGAGGATCGATATATTTGTACGACGGCCAAGGTCCCTGCTCGTGTCTCATCAACCGACGTCGACATTATCATCCATCAAACCCCTACCCACTACTGAGGCCGCCAGAACCTTTGGATGAGGAGAAGGTAACGATGTAGGGCTGGGTTGCTGCAAGCCCAGTGCTACCCCAATCCCAGACTATTGGAAAAGAGGCTGAGAAACCCTGACGTCGCATCAGTAAACATTCCGCGGGGAGCTGAGCCTGAACCACTGGATCTGCGACACCCGCCACCAGCTCTTAGATCTGATGCCCGGCTACCCGGTTTCGTTCCGGTGTCAATTCTGATAACTCATCACTCATATTTGACTATAGATGTGGCATTTTCATATCGACTAGCCGGCAAATGTATTCAGCAGAAGCAAAACATTCCCGCCAATGCAGTTACCCGCACAGCCCATCTTCCAATGCGAAAGCCGCAACGGCCGTGACCTAGAACCCCTATAGTATTTAGGAACTAGCATCGGAGTTTTGACAAACCAATATGTTGTCGCGGTATCAGTTTGCGTCGTTTTTGCCACTGCTGCTTACCTTAAGTCTTAATATTACAAGCTGACACATCTTAAGCTATCATCGTAGGCGACCTCCACGCCACCTAGCGTACCTAAGTTTAGGCTTAAGACATACCGATCGGATGAGGCGATCGTGGGCTTGACGATAGGACGATCCGAAATCTTCGCTCACAGGTTCATTTTAGCGAAGCCAATACCTCGGTCGTTACGCAATATGCATGCAGGACTCATCTCGCATGCGTCATTAAACAGATGCGGGTTCGTCACAAGTGTCGCCTGACGGGACGCTCCCGCACCACGACATGCATGAGATCGACTTGTTTCATTGCCGGGTGCGGAGCCGGTCTGACTCTAGGTGCTTCGTCCCGGCGCAATCGCGCTCTGTGGGATATATCTGATCGCCGGAAATCCCTACGGGGTATGGCACCGGTAGGCTTTCTCTCGTTTTGGGACCCTCCCCTTCGCCAGTATTTCCTGTTTACGTCGTGGCGTGCAGAATCTCGCATTCCATCTTGCTTGCTGCAACGGCTGCTTTCTGCAACCAGCCGTAAGACAAGGTGGTTCTCCCAAAAGGCAACGTCACATCACTACTTAGGGTTAGAGGAATGAGGGAGAGGGGACGATGTCTCGTCGATGTGATTGCCGTAGGCATGCAGCTATTTCTGCGAGTCCGGTGTCAATGTATACAGCGACATGGTTCGACTATTCCTGTCTTGCATACGAGGTACATTCCCCGAATCAAACCTTCGGATAGGGGTTTGATATCATTTACTTGAAGTTGTTTTCTCTAGATATGACACATTCCCTCTTCCAAAAATCTATGCTTCCTGCCGCCGTGTTTCCCTTTCAGGTGTTGTCGTTCAATTCTCTATATCCTAATTGAAGAATCGATGATGTAACTTGTGGACAATGGATGGCCTATCATGTCCCCCTTGCTTCAGCAAATTACACGTCCGGTTTATGATAGTTATATAAATGAATCTCGTTCCTACAGAGGGGGTGACTGTTATGTCTAGACTAGAGAAGATGGTTAGTTGTTCGAGCATGATTTCACTATTTGAGTTGACACAAGTAAAGCATGTCTTCTACTTATTAAGATCTTTTAGACTATAAATAGAGATACAATTCTTAGTTGTTCCCACAGCGGCACTTATTATAAGAATACGGTTCGCAGATGGACATGATTCTATATTTGGTAGCCACATACCCAGACAAGATACGTTGAAAAATGTCCCTTGAACGACTAAATTCTTAACACCATTTTAATTCAAAAATACTGAGCTGATGAGGGATAGGTTTAGAAAGCTTACCACGTTGTATATAATCCAAATACATAAAACTACAATTACCAACCTATGACTGCATATACTCTAGCAAATTTATCGTCTCTAACTTCGTAACTACAACATTAACACCAATTCAATATCAGAAAGACATCCCTCTCATCATGTTTAGAACTTGGACTTCCTACCATGGTGAAAAATAGGAGCCTATTAAGCTCTAATTACATAAGTAGCATCATTACTATTTGGGCCAGCTCTTACGAATGATTCCTGCCGAAGGGGGCGTGAATACAAATGGCGTGAGAAGCCTCGAGGTCAAGCTATAATATCCAATGAAGTAAAGGTCATATCCTCTGATTGGTAGCTGGGTCTGTTATTCATCAACCTGCTTTTCTCCCTCGAGGAACTCTAGAGATTCTTTCGGATGTTGGTAGAAATGCCACAACAAGGTGATAAGAGGCGGGTATATATTCACCATGAATAACTACTACTGGGGTGAAAGAGGCTTATTTCTCTGGTCAGTGAGTACATGCTTCGTGCTTTCCCTGTTCTTAACACTGCTTAACGTATTGACACCAGGAGCTAGAAGCATGTTAACCACCAGCGAGTCTGTTCATGATCTGAGACGCACCGACTGCCGGCGACTACTGTATCATACCGAAACAGAAGCGACGTTGTCTACCCAAGCGGGTTCCGGTCGGCCTGTCTCCGGTTCTCGGCACTTGAATCCAGAGTTCCTGCCACAGAAAAACGTACCTAGGGATATATAATATTGAGACGGCGATCTTCAATACACCAAGTGCTGGCACGACAACGAAGAATCCTGTAGCTTAGTTGGTTGAAGCGCCGCATTACATTGCGAAGGACGAGGGTTCGAGTCCCTCTGGGATCATTAATGTCTCCTTATTTTATTTCATTTTTTGATATTTACGATAATTTTATTTTGCCTTGTGAACTTTAGTGAATCCCCTAAATCCAATCCCGTCTCCTTTTCTCTATGCCCCCCCCCCCCCCCATATCTGCAATATTAAACTGATAGTAAGGGAAAAGTCATAACGTGTAACATATAGCTGTTGATTCTTATTTTTTAAGTGTTGGGTGATTGATCTCGCTCTATCTATAACCAGGTATCATGTAAGGCAACTTTAGCAAAGCAGTCTACCTACGAGTTTGTTCCCCCCCTTTTAACACCTTTTTACGCTTGCATTTAATTACCAACCTTTCAAACCTTTCCTTTCATTAGTGGAAATAAATATCACATTGATCTTGAATAGTCTGAAATATTATAAGTAATGGGTAATAATATCAAGACTAAAGAGTTACTGGCCGTGAAAAGCGTCCGCACTGACGTCGTAGATAAGTGTATACCTAGGTAACTTACCTAGGTAGACAGAAAGGCGACTTCGATGGACTGGGCTCCCGTATTCCTGGTAAGAGTTCTCTTCCGGTAGAGGATGGGAGATCATGCTAAGGAGCTAGCCAGCCTCTCCATTTTCGAGAAAGTGGTCCGCTAGAACGGTGATATCGAGACTGCTGTCTTACGTCACATCATCATATACACCTTGTGTGAGCTATTAGGGGTTCGACACGACGAACTGTATAGGATGTAGATAGCATTTGTTGGGAAAAGCCTTACTCTCAAGGTCTGTCAGTCCGGGAGTTCCCTACAAGTACCCCTATTTTCCCCGTTGAAAAGAGCCTAGAGTCTAGCGGTATGTTGGCGTCATCTCACCAAACAACCCTTGGATTACGTACTCCAATTTAGCTCACCATAGCCTAAAGTACTAAGCTATCCTCTCCATGTTTATAGATGCCAAGACACAGGGGAGGACATGAAGCCCCCAAGCTTCCACGAGACTTGGGTAGCCATTGAACCTTCCGGCCACGCCTTAGTGATTTTAGTATATAAAAGGGGAACATCAGTGGTAGCAACATGTCATTACTGAATTACCTAAAGCGCAGATTCAGGGATACGGTAAATGCCGTCAAAGGTTTTCATGGTATGTATTTTCAACATACCTGCAGAGTTGCTTTGGTTTCAAATTGCAATCACTCATACCACCAATCCCTCAGCTCCATTTAGCAGATTGTCCGAATAGTTCAGTATTCACTGATGACACGGTACTCGTTGAGCGGAACAGGTAGGAGCCAGCCCGATTAGATAGTGTCCCAAGCCTCATGATTCATTACTACGGCTGCATTGTGGTATAACCAGGTATCTAGAACTAGAACTGATCTGTACGAACTCGTTAGTAATCCACACTGAAAGACGAATCAACCCCCAAAGCGGAAAAGAACAAAAGGGACTTACCTAAAGTCATGCTCATGCTAACGTCGGTAGTCTCCACCATCTTCGTGAACTCCTCGAAGCTGATCTTGCCGTCCTTGTCCAGGTCGGCCTCCATGATCGTCTTGTCGACGATCTGCTGTAGCTGCTGGTCCTTCAGGTTGCTCCCGACCATCATCTTGAGCACGATGAACAGCTCGCCGTTGGAGATGTATCCGTCCCGGTCGATGTCGTAGACCTTGAACGCGAACCGCAGCTTCTGCTCCTTGTTGCCCTTGCTGCTGAATGCGCTTAGCCCCGACACGAACTCCTGGAAGTCCACATCGCCACCGCCGTCCTCGTCGAATATTGCTATCATTCTGTGTGGAAGTTAATCAAGTCAGCCTCGGGCTACATGTCTTTTATTTTGCTTTCTAGCGGTGAAGATTTGGATAAAGGAGAAGCTGTACCTCGTAGCTAGCGGGTTCGACGATATTTGGGGTAGGCTAAGAAACTCATCTCGCTCGATCGTGCCCGAGTTATCCTGTAGTGCGAAAATAATTGATTAGTATTTTGTTGGGCGAGTATGATGGGAAAACGCGTCGGGAAGGCTATGTTATACTTTGTCGAGCTTCATGAACCGCTTCCTAAGTCTATCAACCTCATCCCGGTCGACTACACGGCGTCATTAGGATTCCACAATGCCATACCTCGGGATGATTTCGTTACATACAGTTCGACCCTTGGACGATGTTATCGAGCACGGTGCTCGTCGTATTGCCCATGTTGCTAGACGCTCCTTAAAGGAGTCGGATTCGGGGCTGATAAGGAGTGAAGGATGAGTACGGCAAGCGTTCTAATTTGGAGATCGCGTCGGTTTCTGAAAGAGAGTTTTACTTGAATATATATTCGCACTCGTAGAATATTGTTGAAATTATTCGTCGGTCGGAAAAATAGTATATTCACGTTCGATGACCTCGGGATGATGATGAGGCTGATGGTATTGATGTATGAGTTGGGTGGGAATGTGGGTTAGTGGGGTCTTTCTAAGACAAGGCGACCAAGATCTGAATTGCCTTTTAAGTGGAGATTTTTTTTTAGCTTACTACGTATCTACCTAGGTACATAGAAAAAGAGAGAGAGAGAAAGCGCAGCCACATTTCAGGTAGGTGTAAGCCACTTGAAAGTTACCTAGGTACCTAGACAGTAGAACTGTAGAAGTCTAGAACGACATGGAGTCAAGGACTCAAGGCAGTCGCCTATGTGTTTCCATGAGTGTGACATTCATACGACATCCTGACAAGGAATATTGATTGAATTGCTATCACGTAGGTACGAGACTTGATATGTTAATTCAAAATAAAATAAAATAAACAATACAAATGAACCTCGTGAGAATACTTGATAGAAACATGGGAATGTCCAGAAGCCAGGTGCAGTAATTACCTTCAAAATATCACGATGCATAAAGCGGTCTATGAAGTAATGTGGAAATTCGATTGATTTATGTATGTACGTTCCCGCTCTGGTCTTATTATCGTGCTATATTGTGGCTTACAGGTTGTGGCTGAATAGGACTTTTCATGTTGACTGAGGTCCGACTGCCTAGATGCTGGGAAAAAATGCGTTGAATGATCGAGGGCATACAAAAGCTTAAATGATACAGTTACAATTCAAAGGAGTCGATTGTTGCATCAGAATAAATTACATCGTTCCGACCGTTGTAGGAGAAGATAGTAAAAATTAAAAATTTCAATAGGCCGCATCATGCGTTGATTTAATTGGTCGATTGTTGTAAAAAGTTCGCCCCCTTTTGCTTCGTTTCATTGTTGTTGTTGCCTTATCAATGATGTAGATAGGTACCTGACTGTAAAAGGGGGAATGACAAGAGAAGGTAGGCACAGAGGTACATATCCGACTAGAGAATGAGGTGGAAAAACGCATACATTGAGAAGTACCGACCTAAAGTTTTTTAGCGGGTTGCCGGGCGTTATTAGGCCGCGCTTGCCCCTTCCCCCTCCCCAAAAGTGTTGCCCAAAATTGCACGATGTGAACGTGCAACCAATCAGCGACCGGGGTATCAGATACCTAGTTACAGGCCAGAAGGAAGAAGGTGTAAAAAGTTATGGGTGGGGCATGAGCAATGAGCGGCTTTCAAACCCCTCTGCACAACTTGCACAACCACTATTCTGACTTTGTTGTTGCTGCTCGGGCTGCCTGCTGCGGCGACCAAGCAAATTTTTGCGCCCCAAACAAATTCAACGTCACCTCATCCAACACGATACTTCGGCCATCAAAACAACCACCTAAACGCCACTAATAACACTCAAACAATTGATTTTTCATCGTCGCATGATCTAAACTTTCAGGTCCCCGAATTTTTTCGGGATTTTTCCGGCTACAAACGCGACTTTTCCCCTAGTATCCCTCTACACCGCCGACCGCCATGTCGACCCGGAAAGTGCGATACAAGAAGCTTAACACAAAGACGCCTCTGCCCGTACTCCGCGAAGATCAAATCGACCCCAACGAATATGAATCTCTTACAAATGAATCTCAAATAGCTACCGGCGTCGAACAGGCAGAAGAAAATGTAAGTTTTCAATATATTTCTTACCGTTTCTATGCATGTCACGTGATTACGCACGTGACCCCACACGGACTCTGAGAGCCTCTTTTGATATTGGGTTATATCAACCACTCACCATATGCTGACGCGCGCCAATTAATAGGAATACCATCTGCAAGCTGCCCTCAAAGGAGTCGGCGCGAGTACGGATAATGAAATCCCAGTCCCGCCGCCCCAGAAGAGCGACGTTAGCTATCATGAGCTGTACCCCACCCCATATGTAGAGCCCAGAAATTATATCAAGTTCTCCGAGACTGTCGAAGAGACGCTTGGCAGCCTCTATGACATGACCACGGAGGACGAAGAATACCTGAAGACTTACAATGCCAAGTGGACGGGGAACACTCAGCTCTCTGATGGTGATTTCGAGCGCATAATGGAGATATTCGAGGATACGGCGGCAGAACAAGCTCCCTATGCTGCAGTCGATAACACGGTAGTGCCGTTTGAGATAATGGTCCAGTCTATGAACCATATTATCCCCACCAAGATTATTCAATCGCATGCCAAAAATGTCTATGAGTATTGGAAGACTCAAAAACAAGCATGCGGCAACACGACCCTGCATGCTGCACTCAAGTTTGAGACTCACCAAGAGCACGACGACATGGACCCTTACGTCTGCTTCCGAAGACGCGAAGTGCGACAGACAAGAAAGACCAGGGCACGCGATGCGCAGGTGAGCGACAAACTGAAGAAGTTGCGTAAAGAACTTGAAGAGGGACGTCAACTTGTTCTTCTCTCGGGTCAGCGAGAAGTAGTCAAGAGAACCATGCTAGGAACCGATAAATTGCTCTTTGATCAGCGGGCTAGTCTCAAGAACACCAAAGTCCGGCTCGGTATTAAGGACGCACACGATGACGACTTCTGGAATAACAGGCCCCAGAAACGTCAGAAGACAGATGCACAACAACCAGGGGGTCGCCCTGCTCCTCACAACCAACTCCGTCTTATTGTCCGTCCTGACGGAGGAAGATCTGTGGAACCTGCTGATCTT